GAGCCGAGAGAGAAAAATCTTAATATGCCAAAGATACTAATTCTCTTCCAAAATTTCAATCAAAATCTCAAAAGTACTGAAAAAATAAAAAAAAAAGAAAACTTGAAATGGAAGTCTGATGTTTATCAGAAAAGATTAAATAAACAAGTATAGTCTGAAGAGGTTTGAAAAAGAAGAGTAGTGGGGTAGGCTTACTGCCAGATAGAGAAATATAAAAGTGTCAATTTGGATAGAAATGAATAGCGAGAACAAGTATCCAAAAATAAATTTAGGCATATATAAGAGCTTAGTAAAGGATAGAAGTGGCATTTCAAATTGGCGAGGCAAAATGGTTTATGCAATAAATAGCTTTAGGGCAACTAGCTAAACATTTGAAACAAAACAAAATTACATACTTCATACCAAACACTAAAATTAATTGCCAGTGAGCTAATTATTTAAATGTAAAAATAGGGACAGGAAAAGTGTTAGAGTCAATTATCAGTGAATATTGATTAGACCTTTCAAAGCAGGACTCCGGAGGCAGAAGCCATAATGAATAAAGTGCGATGTCTGGCTACATAAAATAGTAAACTTTGCAAGTCAAAAAAAATGGCAGGCAAGTTATAAAGTGGAAAAACTGCAACAGGTAGGATAGCAAAAAGGGTACAATTCTCTTAATTTAGGAAAGCCCCTTCAGATCAGTGAAGGACGAGTTCCCTCCCCACTGCTGGCCGTTGCTGCGGTGTGGTTTGTGGATGAGTGGAGATGCCCACTCATTCTGTCACTTCAGGCCAACTACCTAATCTCTACACCTCGGCTGCTTGGTCTGTAAAATGGTGACAATGGCAGCTGCTGATGACAGCACCTTCCTCTGGGCTGTGAAGAGAGTGGAATGAGCCAATCCTTCCCGAGAGTGCTTAGAATAGTGCCCGGCACACAGTAAGTCCTCAGAAAACGTCAGCTATTAACAATCAGTAGAAAGTGATCAGCAGAGGCTCACGGAAGAAGGTATGTAACTGGCCTCTGGAATATTTTACTTTGGTTTTTCCATGCTGGTCTGGTCCAGGGTAAGTGCTTGGTAAGTGCTCTGAGTAAATTCAAACCATGACCCAGCTAGGGCTCCCCTCTCACGTTCCCTTTTGCTTCACCTTACCTCTGGGACTCTTGATAGAGTCAGGGGTCAAGGGCAATATCTGCAAAACAGCCCTCTCCACCCCCGATTCCACCTCCCTGCCCAGTGCTGTCTTCAGTCCCCCTCTGCTCACCCTCTGAGCCCCCTTCCCACGTGGGGCCCTTGCTGTCCCTACCATCTCAGCCAGCTTGTGAATGGCCGGGCACAGGGTGTTGACTGTGCTCTCATACCACCGGTCTGCGCGGCCCAGGAAGGCGGCCAGCTCTCCCAGCTCCAGCTGCCTGGATACTGCGGGCTCCTGGGGATAAGCAGAGGAGAAGAGTTGTCCGACCCTGTCTCTGGCACTCTCTTCTGGCCAGAGGGGCCCCAGGTGCCATGGGCCTAGGCTTTGTGAATGTGGTCAAATCATTTAACCTCTTGGGGCCTCCATCTCTGCACATAAGATTATTGTTCTGATCTATAAACTCAGATGAAGCTGAAATACCCTTTGCTGAGGGCCACTTTCCAGGGTCATGGAAAATGATCACTAGACTTAAAAGGGGAGAAACAAGTATTGCTTTGACCCACTGCTCCCCCATAGGTGTAAGCGGTGGGGCCCAGAGACAAGGCCACAGCAGAAGTTAGGAACTTCTCAGGGGGGTGGGGCTAGCCAGATCCTTTGTGTCTTTGTCATAGGAGGAGAAGGAGGGGAAAAGGTTCATGTGTGGCCAGTGTAAAGCCTGGAAGTGTGGCTACATCTCCTCCACTAGATGAGTGGGCTTCCACTGCTGGGAATTTCCTCTTATGTGATCTCAGGAGGTGTGTGTGTGTGTGTGTGTGGAGAGAGAGAAAGAGAGCATCCCATATTTGAGAAGCAGTTTGCAACTAACTCCATTACGGAAAACAGCAATGAGCAGGGCACCACCCTGAAGGGCCTATCTTTGGCCACATCCAGCCCCCAGATCCCCTCATCTGTGGTTTTTGAGACAGAAGACCCTGGAGGTCTCTCCCAGCACCACAATCTCAGGATAGTGGTTCCAGTCCCTGGGCCAGGGACACCAGGGACACCAGGCTACAGGTGTTCCCCTGCCCAGCCCCGCCCCTGTTCTCCCGCCCACAACCCCCACCATCTCTCAGTCACCTGAGGCGCCAGCACAGGGATGTAGTAGAGCTGCAGGCTGAGCCTGGGGGTGAGGCAGAACTTCTGGGTCTCCCGTTTCCTGGCAGTGGGCAGGAAAGCACAGGGGTAAGAGCGGTGTTGGCTTCTAACAGACTCACTGCCTCCCGGCTCTGCCATTTATCACTCTATTTCTCGGCTTTGGGCTGTCTGTGTCAGCTCTCTGAGCTCTGTTCTCACCTATGACATGGGCAGAGTAGTGACAGTCTTGTGGGGTGGTGATGAGGACACAGGGACTAACGCCGGGTGGCAGTGAGCACGGTGCTCTGGGTGGCTGCACATGGGGGATATTGCAGGGTCCTCCCTTGTTCCTCCCTGGCCTCTGCCTTTGACCCTCTCCTGCCTCTCCTTGATCCTTCACCAGCCTGTGCCAAGGCCCCCTGCTCCCCCTGCCAGCCCCCTCCCCCATTCCCACCCTGGGGTCCTACCGGAGTCTGTAGTAAGCCTGGGCCAGGCGCCCCAGCATCCTGTCATCCCCCAGCACCAGCACCCGCGCTGTGTGAAGCCGAGAGACGCCGGGCAGCAGTTCCCCATCCCCGCTGGGCCTGCCTGTCCTGCGGTGCAGCCCAGGGGGCCCGTCCCAGCTGCCAGGCATCAAGAAGTGTGGGGGCCACGCACGTTTCTTGATGCCCCCTTTGCGCTGCAGCCCGGCACGCTCCATCTCAGGACTGCCAGGGGCAAGTGGTTCATCAGCCCCTGAGGGAAGGTCTCGCTCAATGCCACTGTCAGTGGACAGCACAGACACCCGGGCCAGTTCCCGGTCTGGCCGGAGACCCTGGAGATCCAAGGCCTCCAAGTCAGCGCTGAGGCGCAGCTGGGACCGCGGGCGGAGGAAGAGCACCAACTCCTTCCCTGGGTGGGACAGAACGGGACTGTCAGGGCAGTCAGGGCATGTGAGGGTGGCAGTGCCCTACCCGAATCCAGACAGGTCCCCACAGAAGGCACAAATACACACAGACACAAACACACGGACAGATACAGATATACAGACACGCAGACACAGATACACACAGAGACACAGACATGTACACACACACAGACACACTATGCACACAAGGCAGCAGGTACCCCGTTTCCAGCCAGCCCCACAGAGGAGTGGACAGACAGCCCGGCCACGTACAGAGCTGCTCCTCGCCGGCCCACAGGTGGAAGGTGATGCAGGGGCTGGGCAACGGGATGCCAGGTGGCCGGTCTTGGATGGGGTCACCTGCAGAAAGGAGGAGGCTGTGGAAACCATGAAGGAGAGGGATGTGGGACCTTCTTCTGCCCTCCCTGCCCCACCCGGCTCCCGTGGGAGACCCGGTGGGGTGGCAGGGACCCCTTCCCTCCCACAGCTGGTCTGTGGAGTCTGTTTTTCCATCTATGCCAACACCAGCTCACCTAGGGACCAACACAGCTGTCCCTTCCCTGCCCAAGAATGCCTGGCAGCTTTCCCACAAACAAACCTCCCAGGCCAGCTCTTAGGAGCTATCACAAACCAGCTAACAAGGCCCTTTCCAACCTATTCTCCCAGGCTGGCTCTGGTCCCCAGCCCTGGCTGCAGCCAGGAGGGCTTCCCACTGTTCTGTGAACAGCCCTGCCTGCATCCAGATGAAGCTGGAATGACTTCTGTCTTTCTCGGCACTGCTTCTGGTATCCTGCACACAGTAGACACTTAATTGATGTCTACTATGTAAGAGACACTTATGAGACCTCATCAGCTAAGCCCAGGGCCAGCAGGGAGCCTGGTTAGTTCAGGGGAAAGACCAGGACTGACCCCTCTTCCTGCTCTTCCTTCTAGAATCCTGACCTCTCCAGTGGTCCGTGGGGTGGTCACTTCCTCCCAGCAGACCTTAGACCTGCCAGGTCCCCTCTACTCACCTGGTCCACATTGTAATCATTTCTCTGGATCCTGCCAGTGACCCCATGTGACAGGTAACATTATTATATCCCTCATAAATTAAAATTGTCCCTCAATAATCAGGGACAGAACCAGGGCACAGAGAGGTTAAATAACTGCCTCCAAGGACACAGAGTAAGTGGCAGAGGTAGGATTTGAGCCCAGTTAGCCTGGCTGCAGAGTCCATGCTTTTACCCACACACTGTGCTTGTAATCACTGTCCCATACGACCCCCTATAGCCACAGGGACTCAACAGAATGCCAGGTGGTCATTAAGATACACAGGGCACGTGTACGTGAGACAGGTGCCCCTGGATATGGCTTGGGGCCTGGCCCAGATGGTCTATCCTGGTCCCTGCAGAGTTACTGCTGGGTGTTAGCAAGTAGTACCCAAGGATAGCAAAGCCACCTTGGGCCCAGGGCTTGTTCCAGCTTCATGAACAGCCATTTCCACATGGTGATCAAAGGCAGTACAGAATAAAGCCGAGAAGATGGAGTCTGTAGGCTGGGGATGTTCTGCCCACCTCACCCTGACTTCTGCAGCCTCCACCTAGCCTGGGCTGCCAAGCTGAAACACTCAAGGCTAGGACGCTGACCTCTGTCCATGGTTTCCAATCCTTAACCCCGTGTCTTGTAACTATAGGTGCATAGTCAGTGACCACGTGTTCTGGGACGTGCAGGCTGACACATTCCATGGGTACTTTGGGTGACCATGAAGCAGGACCCACAACAGCCAGGAAAATACTATTTAGGACAGTGCTATAGGTTATTTCAGATTCCCCATCCACATGGAGCTTCCCAACAGTGTATGGCCTTGTCTCATAAAGGAGGGGTGTGGAACAAAGAGCGGTGATACCAGGTACAAATGCCGTCGACTCATCTGTATATTAGGTGCTCTTGTAGATGGACTTTGGTTACTGCAGCAGAGTGGTGAAGAACTAGACAGCCTGGATTTGAATTTTAACCTCTTTCTAACTCAGTTTTCTCCTCTGTAAAATGGGGGTAATAATAGTTTCTATTTCCTAAGTTTTACTGTGAGGATTAGTTGAGTTAATACAGATGTGAAATATATTTAAGGTGCTTAGAACAGGAAGCTGAGGCTAGTAAGTGCTCTGTAGGTGTCAACTGTTATCCTGACCAAATTACCCATCTTCTTAGCCGAGTCCCCCAGGCCCAGAGGAGCTGCCATGTGTCCCGCCCCTCCTGCACCACGCGGACTCAGCACAGGTCCAGAGTTGCTCTCTGGAGCCGCCTGAGGCGCTGCTCGGCCTGGCCCCTCCAGGGGTCCCATCTGGCCCCTGCCTCTTACCGTCGCAGCGCCCTCTCGCGGCGGCCGCGGGCCCCAGCAGCGAACAGTAAATCTCCTCCAGCCTCTCCAGATGTTCTGCCCTGCTCGGGCTGGCCTCGCTGGCCAACTGCTCCACGGCTGTCACCACGGCGTGGAAATAGTGCTCGAGGGTACAGCGTGAGCTGGTCTGTCGAAGAGCGTCAGAGCCTAGGTCGCAGCCCAGCACCCACGGACCCCAGCTCCCACCCAAGTCTGCAGGCTCATGGCAGCCCTGGGTGGCACCTCCCCTCTACCCTTGGAGGCCAGGCGAGAGCTTCCTGAAAAGGCTTCTGGACCTCACATCCAAGGTCCGCTCCTGCCCTAACACAGCTGTTACCTGATGCTACCTGCAGGTGGGGGCCCTTTAGCCCCTCACACTCCGATCCGGGGAGACAGCTGGTGGCTTCAAACATCTGTAACCTGGAAGGGTGGAGATGGCCACTGCCACCCACCCCTCTAAAGCATCACCAGCATTTGGATGAACATTCTGCCCCCATTAGAATGTGAATTCCAGGAAGGCAGGGATTTTTGTCTGTTTTGTTCATATTCTAGGTTCTGTTGAGACAGCAGTGAACAAAACAGAGAAAAATTCCTGTCTTAATGGAACTTATGGTGGGGGGGGGCAGGTGATAAACCAGACAAGTAAAATTTATAGTATGATATGTAATGATACGTGCTAAAGAGAAAATAAAGCAGAGAAGGAGGATGTGGAATTTAAGGGAGAGGCTGAATATTAAGATTGTGTGGTCTGGGAGGCCTCACTGAGAAGGTGACTTGAAGTGTTGACTTAAAAGAAGTAAAGGGGTGAGCCCTGCTGATGTCTGAGATAACATTTTAAGCATAGGGAACAGTATGTGCAAAGGCCCTGGGGCACAAGTATGCCAGATGTATTTGAGAGCAATAAAGAGGCCTGTGTCCCCAGAGCAGAGAAAATGAGAAGAGGAGTACAGGAGATGAATGGGAGAGGAAATGTAGACTGGGGAAGATCATAAGAGTCTTGTAGACCACCATAATAACTTTGGCTTTGACTCTGAGTGAGGTGCTGTTGTAGATACTGTGGCAGTGACCAGATCCCACCTTCAGATCTGAGGCACTCCTTAGCCCTGCTGCTAGGAGAACTGGCAGCCAGAGTGCTCAGCTGAGTTCCAAAATCACATTCAGTGGAAGAAAGCCACCTCTTCAGGACATGCCCTTTTCCTGGGGACAGTCCACATCCAGTACATAGTGGATGTGGAGGCATAAAGGCCTTACCCCCTCACCCTAATTCCAAATGTCTCTAAAAGCCAGCTCAGCTCCAGACTTGCCATAGACCCAGCATCTACACAATAGCCTTCTTTGTCCCTGCACACAATCTTGCACCCTTCACACCCTTCACACCCCACTGTGGCGTCCCCAGTAAACCTACTGCTTAGAAATTTCCACAAAGGGAAACATGGGGGTGGTAGAGTAGACACCTGGCATGATTTGACTCATGTGTTAGTAGCGACAAGTTTGAGAATGGATCAGAGAGGCAGGGGGCCAGAGTAGGAGCAGGGGGGCCAGAAGGCACTGAAGCCAGCATGGTGGCAGGTGAGGCGATGGGAAATGGCTTGATTCTGCCCACATTCAAAGGTGGAAGCTATAGAAAGGGTCTGTCCCAAGGTTTCATGCCTGAGTGGGTATAAGAATGGCATGCAGTGAGCTGCGAAGAGGAGAGGCTGTGGGCAGAGCTGGCTCTGGAGCTCAGTAGAATGAAGGCATGGGAACAAGAGGAAAATTAGACCCTAATCTTGAAAAGCAGCAACTGGTTTAAGGTTACATTGCCAACCCACAAGACAGCTGTGTCTTCTGACTCCCTTCCTTGGCCTGGTTGCCACATCTCTCTGGAGATCCCTGACTTCAAGGCTTAGCAAAGAAGCCTGCCCTGGTCCTTGCTCTCCTGACCTCATGTGGAGCACATCTACCTTGAGACACCCCCATCTCCAGTATCCAGAATACCATACAAAGGGTCAGAGAGATGGGGTGTCCCAGCCTGACCTCCCAGTCTGGGACCTGGTCAGCTAGTCCCAGGACATGCACAGAGACCAATCTACTCCCCATCTGGGTCTCAGACCAACCCCCCAGTTCACAGAATATGTCCTGACAGTCATATAAGTCCTACCTGCTAGGCAGGTGATTGGCAATGACACCCCTAAATTTGCTTCAATAGGTAGAATTCCAGAGAAGGAGACTGAGTCTCAGGGGTGTGAGGAGTGGTGGTCAACAAAAGCTGGGGAACCCCAGGCCAGGCTGATGTTCATCCAATGAGGGTTACCAGGGGACTGTGAGGGCCCCTCTAATGCTAAGCTTTCAAGGGTCTTTAATTTCAGATAGACAATGACTTCTCCATAATCCCTCTTGCTCTCCTTCTGCACCTTCCCCAAATTCTCTATAAAAATCAAGATCCAGAGCAGTGGGCTCTGGATAAAGTGAGGTGGGAGGGGAGGATATAACAGTTTGACTACACCTAAAAAAATACAGGTTTTACTTTCAGTATTTCTTTTTTCATTGCAAAATAATATGTGCAACAGAGCTGTGAGGTCCAGCCTCAAACCCTGCCCCATTCCTGACCTCGTGCTACCCTCAAGCCCAACCTCATTCTTAACCCTATTCCAAAACCCAGCTTCCTCCAACTGGGGGATGGTGTGAATCTTGGGGATGGATTGTCTATTTCTCACATCAATGAGTAACAAAAATCAGTGCTCTTACACATTTGACTTGGTTGTATCAAAATGATGCCTGTCTTAAGCCTACACCATGGCCCATTCTGTGAGCTAGAAACAACCACTGGAGCTGAAGAAAGGGCACTGGGAAGTGCCGAGTTAGCAGACAAATGCTGAGTCGGGAAAAGTCCTCTCTTTCCCCAGCTTCCTGAGAGTCATGGCCAGTTGCAGGGAGAGAGGACAGTATCCCGCATTAGGGGCCATATGTGTGTGCTGAAACTAAGATGAGGCCTAAGGTAGGAGTTAGCAGGGGTGGTGACATTCTCCAACATGTGATGTGTGCTGCAAACACCTACAGGGGCTGCTATGAAAGGAGAGAAGTCAAGGATGGTTGGGTGGGGAGAATGAGTCAAGAACCCTTGATAAGTCCAAGCAGGCGGACAACCACAAAGCAGTGGTATTCTAGGTATAGGGAAGGTGCTCTTTGACAAAGAGGATGACAAAAAACAATAGAAATGGTTTGAGGAGGGACATAGCCATACACTAAAGGACAGACCTTCTAAAGCAAGGATTAAGGTTCAGACTGTGGAGGATTCTAGATAGAAAACAGGAAGAAAAGCAATGAGTCCAGTGCATTTTGAAGGGCAAAGCAGGGTCTGAGTCATGGGCTGGGGACAGGGGCTGACTCCCCCGCTTCCTGGGGCTGGACAAGCTGGAGATGGCTGAACCCTTGAGAAAACTCCCCTTTGTGGGTGCCTGGCACCCCCCAGGCAGTACCACAGCCCTGAGTCATAGCCACTCAGAGTCCTAGCTGTCAGGTCCAGCCTTCTAGCAGCTTCCTCCACATCACCCCACAGAAAGTCACCTCTTACAGGCAGCAGTCCTCCCCGAACCAAAAGTCTAGTACCTGGTATCAACCCTCGGCCAGAAAATCTCCAACCTACAGGATTTCTTGGGCCATGTATAGGGGCTGAGGCTGAGTCAGAGAGAAAAGCTAGAAAGTAAGTGTTGGAAATAAACTAAACACTTAACAACAAGATTGGGGCACTAGTTGAATAAATATCAGCACATTCATAAGAGAGAACACCGTGCAACCTTTAGAAGTACATGTTTTTCAAGGAAAATATTTCCATCTGGCAGTATTTCCGATGGCACAGGAAAATGAGCCCTTCAAAGACACATGTGTGCTCATATATATGCCTGAATGCACATGCAGAATCTACAACCATTTACACAATTTGGTTAAAAAGGAGCTGGGGAAGCTGGAAAGTATTTGAACATAAGCTCAACATCAGTAAGATCTGGGTTCAAGTCCTGGCTCAGGCACTTTGCCTCTGTGTGACCGTGAGTAGATTATCAATATCTCTGTGCTTTAGTTTCCCCATCTATAAATGTAGATGATAACAATTTTATCTATGTTGCAATGTTGAAGGGAGAATTTTGAAATGCAATAAATGTAAAGTATCTAACACAGCTTCTGGAACACACTAGGTGTTCAATAAACAGTGACTCATAATTATTATTGTCACATTTGTGAACTATGAAAACATGTTCATTGCTATCATGTCTGGGTTAAAGGTTATATTTTCTTCTTCAGCTTGTCTGCATTTTTCAGATTTTCTTTAGTAAAAGCATATTAATTTTTGTTTTAGGGGAGGAAAAGTCATATAAAACAGGAGACGGGGGACAAGTAGAGTGAATGATTGGCGTGAATGTGCAGGGACCTGGGCTGAAACCCACAGGGGCTGGGGTGGGGATTTACCTGCAGCTTCCGGTGCAGGGCACCTGCCTGGCAGGCCTCCCCCAGAGCTGCCTGCAGGGCATGGGAGACCACGTGGCGCATGCAGGCCTCTGGCGTCTGCTGCTCCTGGGCCGCCTCTATCTCCAGGAGCAGGGCACTGCATACGGAGGCAGACACCAGCTCAGGATCCACGAAGAGGAACACTCTGAGGGCAGAGGTGGGGGAGGGGCAGAACTGATGCAGATGGTGACCAAGGAGGCAGCTACTGGATGGACACCCTCAGAGCTGGGCAGCACCCCAAGCTATTTAATTCCTCTAAAAAGAGGAGCCTCAAATCCTAACGTGGCTAGGCTCAATGACAATAGGGAGTGGCAGGGACTAGGGCAAATAAGAGCATGCACAGCCCTTCTAGAGGGGCAGCTCCAGTCCATTTTGCTGTAGTCCTCTGTCTTTGCACAGGAAAGCAGGCCTTGTCTTGCATCTACATAAGTTCCAACCTTAATCCTGCTCCCTCCCTCAGCATCTTGGCCCAGTGATTACATTGCCCCCTAGAAGAGATCCTAACTCCTTTCTGCCAGAACAGAAGCCCTGAACCCCAAGTGCATCCCTTCTTCTCTCATCACCCTTATCACACAAGAAAACCAATCTCACCTACTCTGTCCTCCTCACTCGATGATGTCAGCCCCGCTTTGCTTTTTTTTTTTTTTTTTT